TATCGAAGTAGTAATTAAATGTTTGTAGATGAAATTTTATTTTATTAATATATTTATATATATATATAATTTATGATCGTAGGCTCTTTTTTAGGTTATCAACTTGGCAATATTTACTCGACACTTTGTAATAATAATACATTTATTCATATACATAATAAGTAACTAATTTTAATTTTTTTTTTTTTTATGGTAAAATCACACTTAAAATAGTGAGTAAAACTAGATTTGTTGTACGCTGATTGATTCGCGGCAAGTCATATTTATATGTATTATATACGAACATTTCGTCCCTTCGACATAAATAATAAATTACAATAATATATCACTTCTAGTAGTCACAACAGTTTTTTTTGTCAATGATGAATTTATGAATTATATTTATATAGATGATGTTTAATTGCTTATTATTTATGGAATTACGTCACTCGGAGATATTTTTTTTTTGACAAGGGGGGGGGGGGGACAATAACAATGGAAAAATGGCAGCAGACCTAAGAATTATAATTATTTTTTTTTTATAATTATAATTTTTGTTCTCTTGTGCCACAGAAATAACTTTGAATTTTGTACATTAATTTAAAAATAAATCTCATAGATGGCGTCACAGTATGAGTCACTTTAATAAAAATAAAAATTCCACGTTTTTTCTGTGTACAGAGGAACAATATTTTTGAAAATTGACCATGGAGTTAATAGATTTTAATAAATTTATTAATTTCTTGATATTTTGGAAAATTTGATCAATTCTACTCTTTTAACGCAAGCGCCCTCTATCGATATTGCTTCAAAATACGAGTCACATTCCATCATGTAAAGTTTTTTGTTTATATAAAAAAGAACACACATAACCTATAAAAGAAAAATCTTTATCACTTGAAATAAAGATAATTTTCAAACTATTTCTACTCCATGAACAATTTTTTTTTTTAAATATAATTATTATATGTATATATGACGAGCAAATGACAGTACGACAGGACCAAAGCGAGAGTCCCATGTTTTCTTAAAGGTTAATACTTTCCAAAGAACATTCAAACTATATAGAAGACATTCATTGGTTTAACTACAAAGGATTGTCTGCTTTGGGGTGCGTTAATTTTTCACACATTGAATTTTCCCTCACGACGTTTCTGAAACCATTTTGTTTAACCCACCGCATCATCATATTTTTGCAGAGAGATTTTGTAAAAAAAAGGATTTGACAAAAAAAATTCTATTTCAAATTTTTCTATTACAATATTATAAGCTTTTCATAGTATCGGAACTATTTTAACCCATTTTCATCGTTCGTTTAAAGGTCTCTCTACAATTGACTCAGTTTAAAGGTGAAATCACAACAGAATGAGAAAGAAGAATTGTAGAAAGACCTTAATTTTTTGTTATCCAATCAAAAGTGAATAACGTTCGATACTATCGAAAGCTTGTAAAATTGTAAAACAACACACAAATAACAATATTCAAATTTTCTATTATTTTCTTTTCAGCCTTGTTTGTTTTTTTTTAACGCTCCGCAATAATTTTTTTTTTTTAGCAATCTATAAATAGCTAAATTATAGAGCTTTCCCTTCCATTCTGACTCTTTACTAACTATCAAATCCTAATTATGTACATCAATTCCTTGTAAAGATGGCTAAATATTATATATATATATATATAATTAATATAGTTAGAAGTTAATAATATAATTAATCATGTAGAATCGTTAGAAAAGCACACTCACCAATTTCTAAATTCATCTCACTCTAGCTCATATTTTTTTTTTTAAATATCTAACCGCTGCGTTTATCACAACACCAAACAATTCCTGCTTTGAATTTTAAAAAAGACCGCGCAAAATTTTTCTAAATAAACAAAATTAAATATTCCACGAATTACATCCAATAAATTTTGGATACTTTTGATTTGAAAATATTTTGAAAAGTCGTGACACTTGTATATATTTTTTAGTTCATATGATGAAACCAAGGACATGAACTAATAAAATTATTATAGAAGTGTGAAGACTTTTCAAAATATCATCAAACCGGAAGTATAGCATTTATGTAATTGGGTGTATATATATATTTAAGGTGCATTCACATTTGTGGCAAATATTTTAACCAATAAAATTTGTTGAAATGAGATTGAACCCTTAAAATTATCATTAAAGTGGAAATATTTCTTTTTGTCAATTATATTTCATTTTTTTTGGCTCTTTGGACTAAAAAATTGCTTTTTGTCCGATTTCCATTTTATTGGAAATTTAATGTGACGTCAATATTTTTTTAGAAATTAAGTCAGCGGAAACTACTTGTTAATAATTATAAATAATTTAATAATTGTAAATTTCATTCATCAGTCAAATCGAATTCAATTTCAGATTCGACTTAGTTTTTTTTTTTTGTCTTTTTTTTTAGGGCAGTGCAAATTTTGGGAGTTTTGCTTCCTAATCGTCTCTTTTTAATTTTTTTTTTTTTTTGGCACATCGCGAGAAGAGAATCTGAAAAGATTTTTGGAATTTATAGTAAGAGATTTTAGTTTGTTTTTTTTGTGCCAAGTGACGATGATAATTCAAGGAATTTCCGATGACTTACTAATCGATTTTCCCATTATAGATCTACAAATGATTAATGAAAATTTTACACTTTGGACTTTGGTTTTTTTGACTACAGGTTGGTACACACCTATTAATTAATTGCCATTTTTTTCTATTCGACATTTGTCATAATTCTCGTCAACTACCGCACCCTGCTCTAGTGAAAATTTAGTGAATTTTTTGTTAAAATTAAAAGTTACTAAATTTTCACTAGAGCAGGGTGCGGTAGTTGATGAGAATTATGACAAATGGCAACCAACCAATTGCCATAAATGTTGTACTTCCGGTTTTGACGACATTTTTGAAAAGTCGTGACACTTCTATAATAATTTTATTAGTTCATGGCCTTGATTGCATCATACGCCATGAACTAATAAAATTATTATAGAAGTGTCACGACTTTTCAAAAAATGTCGTCAAAACCGGAAGGACAACATTTATACAATTCGGTGTGCATAAAGGTGTGACTTTATCTTAAATCAGAAATTTAAAAAAAAATTCGTCAACTATTATTCAGAAAAAAAAAAATATCTCACTAAACACCAAATGGTAAAACGAGAATTTGATTCTCACAAAGAAAACCTGTCTTTTTTCCCCTAGCGTTTCTCATTTTCTTTTTTTTTATTTTACTCTTCTCGTTTCTCATTAAATATCGTAGTAGTTAAAAGTCAACGATTAGTTACCAGAACACAAGGCACTTGACTTACACATCATATTTTTTTTTTTTTTTGTTATTCACTTCTTTTTTTTTTGGTATAGCTCGGTGTTGAGATAGCTAGTGTCCAAAACACATTGTCACCACCATTTTCGAATTACCCGATTAAATATTTTTTTAAAATTACAATAATTCGTAAAAAATGACATTTTGGAAAAACAAAATTGTAAATCATTTTTTTTAATTTTTAAAAAATTGCAATATTTCAAGATCAAATTAAAAAAATAATATATTTCCTCAAGTAGGTTATAAAAAAAGTTGTATTTAAATCGCAATGGTAGTGAACTGTACATATTGCAGAAGTACCATTATTTCGCGCCTACTAAGGTAGCCAATCACAGAGCGAGTTATTCCAAGTACTATAAAAGTACCGCGCTCGGGATTTTGAGAAAATTTTTTTTTAATTTTAAACATTTTTAAAAAATAATATTTCTAATAATAATTTTTTTTTTTGAATCAATCACTAATGAAAATATTAAATTTTTGTATTAATCCAATCTGTCATTGTTTACTCTATCTGAGAATATATAAAAATGATAATATAATTATTTATCGTTTCAATTTATTAAAAATTAAAAAAAAAATAAAATCGACAAAGCTTTTCTTCCGATAGGGACAAAGTGCTTTTAAAAAGTTGACGAAAAATGATACGCAATATATCAGTCATTCACAATATCCATAGAAGAAAATAGTTAATATATATACCGTACATATATACTATTTATGCAATGTCGTAATAATATATAATATATTCTTCATATATTTAGTATCTATCAATATATATATATAATATATATATATTCATTTATAAACGACGTTAGATTGTTTAAATCTGAGTATTAATTTCTTCAATTTCATTTTACTTGGCTTTTATTATTTTGACGACTCTCGATACTTTTTTTTTTTAAACAAATAAAAATATTCCATTTGGAATAGGAGAGATTCTCAAAAATATTAACAGAAGTATCAGAGTCGACTTTTTTTTTTAATAATTTGAAATTTTTTTTTTTTTAGGAACTAAAAATAGAATTTAATATTCATTTGATTATATTGATTTTTTGATTTTATTTGAATTTGATTTTGTACGAAATTTTCCATTATTATAAAATTATTAGCAGGTGACTGAAAACGAAAAAAAAAAAAAAAAATTCTCAACTTTCACGGACAGAAGAAAGTGTAATAATTATTATTATTTTTTAACATCGAGATTATGTTAGCGATTAATATCCAACCATTTTTTCCCCTTCCAACCATTCTTTTTTTTTTGTCTTTGCAATTTGCCAGTCGAAAAATCACGCAATTTTCTATAGCGGAATTTTTTTGTTTATAACCTCTGTACATATTCAGTTATACATTATACTCTTATCGTCCGCTATATGTGTAATAATCATAATATCGCATTTTATAGTCAATATTTTTTTGTATATATTAAATAAAGTGGTATGTATACGCAATATAGTATAATATAGTCACTAATACAATGTATAATATCGCTTTTTAACATAATACTGATGTGCGGTTATTCGCATTAATCCGGATCGCTTTACCGGAAACGAAAACACAGATTTATGTTTTTTTTTCTCTCTTTCTCTCTCTCTCTCTCTTTTTTTTCAAAAAATTGTCATCAATATGTGTAATTATTTAAGTGTAATTATTTAATTATTTCTCCGAAGATTAGAAAAAAAAAATAATTATCCCTTAGAACGGTTTCTTTTTCTAAAAGTGGTTTATAGTTCAACTAATTTCTCGCAGATGGCGCTAGCTCCAAATCTCGATCGATGTATCGTTTTAATTTATCGAATCTGGTTGAAACCATAATGCTGAATTCACAGTTTAACATTCTTTTATTAAATTACACTTAAATATTTACAAAATTGCAATGGTTTCTTTTTTTTAAAGTGACTCCCCCAAAGGTCCTTTTTCTTCCCTACAAGATTCTTGGAAAGGAAACAAAAAAAAAAAAAAAAAAAATCGGACCTGATGTGGTTGAGTAGCTCTCTTGGGGTTTTTGTGGCCTCCAAAATAGTCGTTGACATGTCGTTGAAATAATTTTCTAGTTTTTTTTTTTTTCTTTTTCTTTTTCTTAAAAGAATTGGCAACTCTACCACATCTTTTGAAATTGACTCTTCGATTAAAATCAAGCTTTACAATCTACTTTCAGAGAAAAATGATATTTATTTTGAAAAAAAAAATATATTTAGGCCACATTTGAATTTGTGAAAAAAAAGAAACAAAAAATTCTGAGAGATGTAGAGCTTGATTGTGACGTGTGAATCTTAAGTTTAAAAAGTATAGTAGCAAATACTCTATATCAACTCTAGATCAGAACATGAAGGTTAACAAAATAGCAAAGTCGCTGTGTATTGTCCATATTTGCTTATGACATCAATTTTTTTTTTTTTTATTATTTTTTGAGCGATTTCATTAGATTAGGATGAAAGTTCATTAAATAGACTTAGCAGATTCTCGTTTTTTTTTTTTTTTTTGAGCAAGATAATTAGATATTTTGATTAGAAATAGGATCTAAATTGTATACGAACATTTTTTTTTAAGATAAAATCTAGTTGAGCAGACAAATGTATAGCCATCTCGTTTTTTTCAAATTGTAAAGTAATATTTATTATTGTTACTAATAAAAAAAATTCTTCAAGAATTATTTATATGCTTTTTTTGGTAATAAATTCCTGTTATTTAAAACATATTTTTCTTTATAATTTTAATTAAATTATTTTCATTGATATATATAATTTAACGTATAGAATTTATTAGTAATTTTTAATAAAAATTACAAAATAATTTTTCTAGTTAAAAGTAAAATCAAATAAGTTTTTATTAAATAAAAGTGTTTTCTAGTTCCTCCAAATGATCATAGAGGCGCTTTCGTTATTATAATCGATTAATCATCAGACTGGCTAGTTTCAGAGATCGTTATAACAATTATTTTTTTTTTTTTTTAAAGAAAAAAGGATTAAAAAATATGTTTACGTATTATATTTTTAACAACGTTTGTATTTTGTTATTATTATTATTATTTTTTTTTTTGATTTAGTGCTAAAACGAACGTTAACTGATTTAGAGCTGACACAGAGAGATGATAATAACATTGACATTGCGCTATTAATAATAATTTTTTCTTTTTTTTTTTAAGTAGTAAAAAGTTAATAGAGAATTTCGCATAACATCAAATAGAAAGAGTATAAAGTGTCATGCTGGATTGTAAAGAGAGATTAGACATTAAAAGTATATAGGTATTAGATAAGAGAGGATGATGATAGTTAATTATACAATATTTGAATAATTCATAATAATTCTTTCATTCGTTTTATAAAGAGTAATTTTGCATTCAAAACGTTGATGATTCCTTTAGTAGACTTTTTTTTTTTTCTCTTTAATACAGTATTTTGAGCACATTCCTCAGGTGTATAATAACCACGCTACACTTTCTTTATAGAGTTGTACCAATATATATTTATTTATATGTCTCTTTTGACAAGTTTAAAAAAAAAAAAAAATTTCAAAATATTTTTGAAAATATATTAAATTTACACTGCAAAAACTAGTGTCTCAATATCTCATAATAATAATAATAATAATAGTAACGTAATTATGATAAATATTAATAATAATTTATAAATAATAATAATAATAATAATTTAATATTAGTAATAATAATAATAGTAATATAATAATGATAAATAATAATATTAATAATAATAATAATAATAATAATAATAATAATAATAATAATAATAATAATAATAATAATAATAATAATAATAATAATAACAGTGACAAAAAGATATGACTGCTGCTATTCGATAAGAATTTAAGTAACTCTCTTTGTGAGACTAACATTCTAGAATTGAAAGGAACAGTTATTTTGTCCCTCGGGTCAAAAATAATTACTTTTTTCCCGCTGTTTAGAAAAAAATCATTTAAAACAGTTTTAAAATGGACAAAATTTTTTTTTTTGCAGTGTATATTGCAACAAACTTTAATAACTTGATGTAAAAACATTTTATTTGTAAAATAATTTTATAATAATAAAATTATAGAATAAAATTATCGGTACAACTCACTAGTTGATGGCACGGGTCCGCCTATGTACAAATACGAAATACCATATAAACCACATACCATTTAAATACATCACATATTTACCATTTTTTTTTTGTTTAAATATATAATATATATATATATTCTCCATATATATATTTATATGTATATATATATCATTAATTTTTTTTGTTTTTTTTTTGTGACGTGGAGGGACTTGTTTGTACAATTCATGCGTGTCTTCGTTACGGTTTCATTGCTTCGTTTTAATATATCTTTCACAAGATTTTTTTTTTTTTTTTTTTTCATCTCCACATTTCTATAAGCGACAGCCTCCAGCGCATGCAATCGCTCGCACAACCCAGAATGCATTTTTTTTTTTTTTTTTTTTTTTTAAATTGAGAGCACCGGAAGTGCTCCCCGCCTGTGTGTCATATCTTGTCGATGAAAAAAAAAATAAAATAAATAAATAAATGAAAGAATCGACAAGAATTGTTCAGTCATTGGCAAGGAGCGATTGAATTTCAAGCACTTCTGGATTCGATGGGAGCCGATTTTTTTTTTTTACTTATCTACAATATTGTTAAGAGTTTATTTTTTTTTAAGAATTAGAGTTATATTGATAATAATTATATTCAGTAGAAACTTAGTTTCCGTAACAAGTGTATTGTCTTAAATGATATGTCTGCTAATTTTGTTGCATTCCTATCTCCGAGAGCCTTATCTCACGGAATTAGTATATAACAAGTTTTTTTTTTTTTTTTTTTTTTATTTTTTATTAATCTCTAGAAACAAATTAATAGTAATTATAAAAACTCGAAACATTTCGCAGATTCTTATATTATTTTTTTTTTTTATTACAGAACACTATATATAAGATTTTTTTTTAGCGCTGGAGACTGTTGAATCGTTTCTCACGTCAGCTCTTAGAAAAAAAAAAAAAATTCTTCCCCCATCTAAGAAGTGAAATAAATTCTTTTATTTTAGGCGGAAATTATTTTTGAGACATTAATTTCACTTCTAGTGTCAATTTGAGAGAGACCCGTTTTTTGAAAGAAAAAAAAAAAAAAATTAATTTAAAATTTGTGGCCGGACATTTTGATTTTATTTTTCAAATTTAGATTTTGCTCTATTATATACATATATGTATCGATAAAAGAGGAAATACAAGACTAGTATAGAAATAGGAGAAAAAAATTATTTTTTTTTTGGTATAATCATAAAAACTTAAAAAGCTCATTCGCAGAAATCATCGACGTTCGACATATCCTTCGGATTGTTATACAAAAATGATAATTTAAAAAAAAAATGTCACCTATGTATAATAAAAAGATTTAACTTTGAGCGTCATTTTTTCACTCGTCGCTTATATATATATATATATTTATATATATATTATTTTTTTTTTTTTAGAGAAAAAGTTAGAAAGTTAAAATGTATATAGCGTGATTTATTTCAATATGGCAAAAGTCGATAAAAAGGAGAGCAGTAACAATGAATAACAATATCTTCATGGTAAAATTACGCAGTGTCTACGATTGGTAAATCTCTTGAATAACAATTTAGAGTTTTCTTTAATAAATATATTAAGAAAACTTTTTTTTTTTGATATCAATTTACACTCTTATTATTGAGCCGCAGATTTAAAAATTATTAACTAGTTATAATATTTTAAATTACAAAATCAAATCTTAAAATAAATAATTTAAAATAATTATAATAATAATATAGGATTTTATCACAACCTTTATTTTATTTATTTTTTTTTTGTATGTTTTAAGGTTATAAAAATTTTTATCATTTCTAGTATGCAAAAGACTCTTATAAAAATATTGATATCTTCAGCTAATTTGAAAATAGAGGAATATTGTCATATGAAATTTTCAATGAAAAAATATATAAACAGTATTTGTTGTAAAAAAAAAAGTATTGGGAATTGTCGATTGTGTAATTTATTAAATTGCAGAAACGGTGTTGGTTTTTTTGGAATTGTATATTCGGCCTGAACAGTGGGGGATTAAGTTTTTTACCTTCCGAACCCTGGTTCGAGTTTCTCAAACTATAATGAGAGGGAGAAGGACAGATATATGATAAAGTTCATATTAAATTAAGCTGTGTTCACAATAGACTTTTTTTATGTTATATGACATAAAAAAGCCTATATTGTAGACAGGACCTTAATTTTTCAAAGAAGTCTCCAATAATTTCCTATCATTAAAGTAATTAAATATTAAAAAATTTATCTAAATAAACAATTTTGATAATTATAAAAAATAATAATTATTACATAAATATAATTTGAAGAAAAGAATTTAAATGAAGTAAAATTTTAATGTATTTAAAATAAAAATTGTTTAATTAAAAAAAAAAAAGGAATTAAAATGTTTAAAATTGTTTAATATTAAGTGAATTAATTAAACCTAAATTAATAATAAATTCGATTTAAATACTTAGAAATTAATTTAAACACTAAAATAAATAGAATTTTATATAAAAAGATTCTACATAACCTATACAAATTCCTGTAATTATTTATTTCGTCAACTCCCAAAACTTTTTTTTCCCCTAAATATATTGCAATCACATTTAAATTCAGTGATTTAGAGTATATTATAAGAAAAATGAATTATTTTATGAAATACAGGAATAATTTTTAATGGACAAAAAATTCTATAACCTTATAAACAAATTATAAAAGGATTGCAAAAAATGTTTAGATTTAGAAATTTTTTTTTTTAAATTACAAAAGTTAGAAGACGAATTAAATATTATATAAATATATATAGAGAAGAGTGGATTTATTTTTATTATTATTATTATTATTATTATTATTATTATTATTATTGTTTTTGCAAGAGTCTCACCACGTAGACTCCTAGTAAGGTAGAAAAAACCAAGCAATGTGTATATATACCTATTAATATATAATAAATGTATATATATATTTATATAGATCCATTCTACAACAAATCTATATTTCTATCTAATTAGCATTTAAAATCCACTTTTTTTTTTTTTTAGTTGTACGTATAGACATTCATATGTACAGGCATGTACACGTATTATGTACACGTAGTGATTTTTGAATAAGTTCTCCTTAAAACCGAGTATTTTTTTTTTTTGTTTTTTTTTCATTTTTTTGTGTGTATTTTCTTTAATATAATATTGAGATAATTATCTAGCTCGCATCATCGTTTTGATTCGTCCGTGAAACTTGAACAACGAATTTATTTTTCTCTTTTTTTTATTTCTTGCGTATTTGTTTCTTAGAAAAATCATCGCCTAAAGATATACATAATTTTTAAAATACATCCATTTATCTATGCACATATACAAAGTTTTTTTTTTTTTTTTTTGTTTTGTTTAATATTCGTGAAATATCCTCAGATGTTAAAGAGGTTTTTAAAAAAAAAAAAAATTATCTTAGGACGATCACAACAAATTTGCCGCGTTTTCTAACTATATATGTTTTATATATATAGTCTAGATATCTAAATAACGTATTTTTTCACATAAAACGTGCAACAAGTATCAAAGCTATTAGCGATTTATTATATATATATATATATTCGATTTATATCCAAAAATACCAAAAAAAAAGCTAAAGTTAGCAATGTTGACGTAAATAAGAAAAAGAATTTTATTTTTCTAATAGATTTAAAAAAAAATTTTTTTTTAACTCCAACCGAGGAGGGGAAGACGTTAATGATAGAATTTAATTTGTTTCTTATTTCGTTGACGTAAACTTTGATAACTTTAGCATTATATTCGGAGATGTAGATGAAATTTTTTTTTTCCTTTCAATGTCCTTTTTTTATCAGTGTTTTTAATTTTGTGGAAAATTTTTTTTCAGGTCGAAGCTGAAATTTTCCACCGAATTTTAAACAAGTTTTCTTGAGTGAAATTCTGAGCTATAATAAATATGTCTAACGTAAACAGTGAGGGCCGTAACTAAACCAGAGCCACCTAGCGAACGCGTGGGGTAACTATCCATTAAAAAAAAAAACTGCATTCAATTAATTTCAATATAATTTCGGAATTGTAAATTAAAAATTGGATATTGAAATTCTTGAATTATCTCGTGTTTTTTTAAAATTTATTCTAATCCAAATTTGGTTTCAAAGATAGAAATCGAATAATATTAATATATTTAGTATTCTCGCTAAAAGTTTGAAAGAAAAATATATTATGAAAGTGTATAAAGAATGAATAAAAGTCGAAAGAACGATAAAGACGTAACAGGTAACAGAGTAATTATCTTTGTGGCACATTCTGAGATGATCTCACATGCTATAGAGGACTTAAAGACAATATGCGCGCGATTTTCAACAATCATGCGGAACAATTGAAACATGCTAGACTCGTCGCGCTTCTTTTTCTTTTTTTTTTTTGTTTGATCTTGTTCCTTAGGCCATTTGAAACTCGATGTGCCTTCAAGGTGACCTCAAAGTCGCCTGTTTCATTTTTTTAAAATAATTTTCAAAATGACCAGAACGCCATACCCTGTTTACGCGCCAAACAGGAATCTCTTCGAATTTTGCGCTCTCCCTTTTTTTTCTACTTTTAAAGATTTTTCTTAAATACTTATGAAATTATTAGTTTTTTAGTTTTTCTTTTTATCTATGTGTCTTTCGTGAATGAGTTTTTTTTTTTTTGATTGGCACAAGTTTTTTTTTTTGTGGAAGGTTTATGTCCCGTTTTGGGGTGAGGGGCGTAAAGTAGAAACACGGTGGCGATTTACAAAAAAATCCTCGTCGTTTCTACCTTATCATAACAGCCTGCTTTAAAGGTAACATAAGTTCCATTGGGCCTAAAGTCTTGGACTATGGAGGCCTGAGTCTCGTGGGATTGTGCCATAATTGAGTCGAGTTTTGAATACTGCTTTCGCAGCCATTGAAGTTTTGAGGTAGGGAATTGCCCTGGGTTTGCTGATGCAAATTCTGCTGATGCTGCTGCTGCTGCAAGCCCTGCACATTTTGAGAATTTTGAGTATTATGATGATTTGAAGTTGGCCTTTTAGATTCCTGAACCGTTGAATCGGGACAGGGCAGCGGCCGATGTGACTTCATGTGGGCACTTCTGCTTTTCACCTTGTTGAAAACTCTAGAAAAAGAAAAAATAGAAAAAAAATTTAGTTTAATAATTTATTTAATAATAAAATTTCCGATCTAAAGAAAGTATTGTAGAACAGCCTTAAATTTTAACTCAATGGAGCATTTTCGGAACATTTAAAGCTACTTCTACAACTTTTTTTCATCCGTTTTGTATAGAGTTGAAAAGTTATTGTAGAAGCAGCTTGAAAAGTTACCGAGAAATAAAGCAGGGTTGGGTAACGAAGAATCATCCGTTTCTGATTCGTTCGTAATATTTCCAGTAATATTGCGAGCCAATCAGAAACTATCAATTATTCATTATCTATAATCATTTGTCAGGTTACTTCCACAATATTCAATTTTTACTCCCCGTTTTATTTGGAAAAAAAAATTGTATTAACAAACAAAAAAAAAAGCTGTTTCACTTCAGTATTAATAGCACTCTTGACAATGGGTTATTAAATAAGTTTCACAATACTGTGATAATATTTATAGTTAACAACATCAAAATAACATCAAATAAACATTAAAACTAATTACGAAAAAGCACAGATGCTAAATTTTATAGAGTAACGAGCATTAGTTTAGAATATAAATATTAGTAGAGGAGTTTTCTATTGGGAGATAAAGTTTAGCGATATAAAACATTCTTTTTTTTATGAATTTAAAAAATTTATATGCAAAATAAAATTTGAAAAAAATAGCCAAAGAGAAAATCAATTGGTGTACAGGGTAAAAAAAAAATCGACGAGGATATTATTGAGAAAGAGAAAGTGAGGTTAGGTAAGTATGCGATGTTTCTAATTGGCTCGTAATATTACCGAAAATATTACGAACGAATCAAAAACAAATGGATCTTCGTTACCCAACCCTGCTTTACAACTGATTCGAGCATTTGCGAACATGCTACATGAGATGAAAAATAAAAGTCTTTTTCCACCTCATATATGTCACGTTCGCAAACTTATTAGGGCTTGTCTAATTTTGTATTTTTTTTAACCTCTCTCAATATTAAGGCCCGCGTGTAGTGAAACTCGTTCGCAAAGAGGAAACATAACCTAAAATTAGAGATTTCGAAAAAAAACTCAAGTATTTTTGAAATTAAAAAATTATAATTAAAAAGATAATCTGAATAACATTTTAAATTTCTATTTGAAGTACAAAATAAATAAAAAAAAAATGGCTTCGCAAACGAGTTTCACTTGACGATTTTTTGTCCTGTACTGCAATCAATTTTTTTTTCCAATTATCTAAAATAAAATGTGAATATTTTTCAAAAAAAAAATTTCTTCGCTTGCAATATTGTTTTAACATCAAAAATAATAAAAAAATCAATGTCATTATTTCAGTTATACGCTGTGATAAATCTGTGTTAAAAATTTTTTCAAAAGTTTCAGTATTATAAAAGTTAGAGTAGTTTTTATACGTGATAAATTGTTGTCTACAAGGCTTTAATTGTATATTCGTCTTTATTTTTCAATGTGACAATAAGGTTATATCTTTCTCACTCAATTTATTTTTTGTCATTGTAAGTTCAATGTTAACGTAAAAACGTAACCGCATATGAGTGAGAGAAATGAACAGATATCACTATCTCTTTCACACACATGGTTTCTATTTTTATTAAGGTTAGGTTAGGATTTTTATATTCTCAATGCTTTAATTTAATATTCGAGATTTAGGCAAGAATATTGCTAAAAAAAATTGGTTTTTTAGTAAAAAATCTGAGCTATTAGAAATAAGTAAATTTTTTGATTATCCTAATTATTGTACAAGTTTGTGTATTTTTGTATGAATTAATTCGCAGTAAGAAGGGAGAAATTAAAAACATTTCTGTCCAATTTTTTTTGTATTCGGAGTAATTTAAAATTAGCTCAATACAATATTATTTTCAATAACATTTTAATTTTTTGCTTCTTACTGGTTTCTCCATAAACAAAAATTAGAAAACGTCTAAGAGTGAGGAAGATTTAATCTATATATGAAACAAAATTAAATTAAAACAAAATGATTTGTACCCTTTTTGTCATTGATTTTACCACCGTTAAATGAGTAACACGAAAAAAATAATAATATGATCGTTGACTTAGAGAGAGAGAGAGAGAGATTAGAGACTTACTTCCCGCAAATCTTGCAGGGGTAGTGAAGTGGGGTGGGCACGGGTAGATGTTGCTCAGAACTAGTGTGAGTTTGTGAGTTGGTGTTGACTGTGGCGTGGCAAGTTTTGCCGACTTTGGCGGTTTGGGTGCTTCCGGCCTGCATCATTACTGTTACACTTCCGCTAAAGCTCTGACAACACAAAGAAAACACAAAGCCAAAATAAACGACAACACAAACAAACAATGTCAACGACACAATCAATGTGTCTTAATTAAACACAAATTTAACAAGGCACGCAGTAAAATAGAAAAAAAAATTAAAAAAAAAAAATACGACTCGAATCAAAAGAAATATTAATAAAGCAAAATTACAATATAAACGAGACATGCGACATTTAATTATATATTAGTTCACATGTAACATCGTGTATAGTGAGAGTTACAATTTGTAGAATGAAGAAAAGTTAATAAAGCTTGTTATTTATTTATTCTTTTTAATTTTTTCAATTTTTAGTTTCAAAAACTACACATTTAAAAATATGAAAAAACTCACCTCGGGACAATCGTAGGCGAATAACCTTAATTCACCATCACTTGTTGTTAGGGTCGCTGAACTTTCCCTTTCGTTTGTCTGTAACTGAAATATTTTCACATTTATTTGTGTGTTTGAAAATAATTTTCTAAATATGTAAAAATTTTTTTTTTTTACCAAGGTTCGATGAAGAATGGATTTTTCTTCACTAAAGTCCATTTCTGTGACTGATGCAATGGCATCGCGAAGCTCCTTCGTGTCTTTAAAGTCTTTATCTTTGATTTCGATTTTGATCTTTGGTTTACCATGACGTGCCCTAAGCCTTTTGTATTCTTCGGGACAGAGTCTTTTCCAGAGGTAGTAGAATTGCACGCATTGTTTCGCGGACTTACTTCCAATATCGCGTGAAATTCCGAAGAAGTCCTTGTTGTACTTTAACAGGCCTTGATAAAACATATCCATTTCATGGGGTGTCCAACGATCAGATTCGTGACACACGTAACTAAGTAGAGGATGTTCGGCTGGTAATGATGATGTTGGTCTCATCAGCTTTAGCATCGCCTCCTATTTCAAAATTAATAAATAATAGAATCTTAAGATAAATCATCAGTCACTTTTGTCTCTAGGAAAAAAAAAGAATCGAAAAGGAAGGAAAAAAGATGGAAAATATTTATTTGGATTCTAACACTTAACTATTGATATAAACCACCTCGAAAAACTTTTTTCAAATGTAAAATGTAAATAATTATGTTGTAATCTTTTTTTTTATTTTTCACAATATCTTGAATATAATATTAAATAAATAAAAATTAAATTAAATTTTTTTTCTGTTTCAGTGTTTACCATGGATTTACCGGATTTATTATCATCATACAATTGGTAAAAAGATTCACTAAAGAAGAAACCTGTCAATCTCCAGGAAGTGGATTTTAAGAATTTAGTGGTGAGATTCTCACCATTAGGTTAAATACTGTGCTAGCTTTTTATAAGCAAAAAATTAATTTAATTAATGTCCACCTTACGTCATAACTCTTACGAGACAAAAAATTCCGAAAATGACGAACCATTTAATGTCGCAGATGATTCGTATAAAATAATAAAACTACTTTTATTCATTATAACAAAATTAGCTAAATTGTAAAATAATGCAAAATACAGAATAATGTCCCCTTCTTTAAGATTTTATCCCTACTTTCTTGAAATCTGTGTCCTTAAAGTACAACCCGTAGTTTCAACCTAACTTAAGGGCTGGGTCAATGAAGCCCAATAGAAAGAAAGTACTAATGAGTTTTTCTCTATTTTTCTTTCTAATTATTACTTTTTCTTTTAGAAAACCCAATAGCAATATATCCCCCCGCCCTTTCCACGTCTTTCCAAATTTTCCCTTAACACTGCAAAATTTAAAATTTGTAGTGAGGACAAACCCTTATAAACCTAAATTTGCGTAAATTAAAAAAAAAATCCCTTACGCGAATATTTCCTCTGCACATGTGTAGAAGATGGAGGGCATATTCCTTGTTTCTCCCGCCGCCCGGTACAGCTGCGCAACAAGCGAACTGAAGATACATCTCCACTGAAAAATGCAAAATACAAATAATTAAATTCTGAAGCAAAATTTCGTGAAAGACAAAGAGAAAAAAAAATTTACGATACTTACATTCATTTTCAGTGAGTATACTATTTATGCCAGGATCCCATAGTAGATGATCAGCTTCTGGAACGCCTCTTCCTTTATCGCCCTCACAACCCACAGCTGGAATTGTTGCTTGATATCGTGTTCCAATATTAATTCTAGGCGGTGGACCATCATTTCCTTGAGAATCATCAGAACTAAAATCCGAATCCCTCTCATATTGATGTAGTCTTGCGTACAATCCTGGTCCAGATCTTGAGGGATTTAAAATTGGTGGCGGTGTATAGCTACTATCCCAATGACGATCACAGGCTCTACGCAAACGCGATGGATAGGAATGCGAACTATTCAATCCTTGACTATCAAGTCTTGGCCTCTTTCTACAATGTCTCGCTGGACTTTCAGTCGAAACACTACTTGGACTAAGAAATACATCTTCATCAAATTCTTCTTTAATCTGTTCAACTGGAATTGGTAAATTAGAAGGTTTATGCTTCAAACTTTTTTGATTTGAATGAATCAAAAATTTAGCTGGATTTATTGCCTGCTGAAGTATTTGTCCTTGAAATTGATTACTTAATCCCGTATTACCAATGTTCATTGAATTTTGTTCAATTTTTTGATTTGCGGGTCTAATTTCTTTTCTAAATGTTAAAGCTGGACTTAAAGCACCAGCTTGAACGAATACATTTGCTTTTTGTAAACCAGCCGTTTGAATGAGTTTAAATTCACCATTATTGTCAACGACAATACCAGCGAGACTTCCATTTCCCAATCCAAAATCCATGAGATTTTGACTTGTTATAAGTTTATAGGATTGAAATTCAACTTTCCTACGACCGGTGAAATCTTTTGGGCTTGATGATAATAGTGGATCCTCAGAATTGGGCATCATTTGATTTTGTAAATGATGTGGCGATACGGGAAAATTGGAAGTAAAATTTCCAGGTCCTGGTGAGGAGACTGATGAAGGTGGAGGACTTGGTAGTGGTGAATGTGGATTTGGTGAACCTGAACCATAAAGATTGGCATCAGCTTCCGATTCACCGGGAAGAACTTCACTGAGTGCTTCCTCAACTGCTTCGGCGGAAGACATTGTTGTAGTGTAAAAAGCAGCTGAAAGAGGTGATGATACAGGACGTACAGCTTCTGGATCTTCTTGTGGACTTAAAAGTGGTAATGTTCCTGATAAAAGACCCTCCTGACTTGCAGGTGGTGTTGGATAAGTAAAACTAGGACTATCGTGTCTTGTTAAAGGTGATGGTAATGGAGATTGTGTCGCTAATGTATGAGGACTTTCAGTGAATTGTGCTCCATAAGTACTAAATTCAGCAAGTGAATCAGGAAGTGGAGAATTTACTAATGCCTGAAGATCTGGATTCACTGTATGCTGTGATGTAAAACGATCTTCAAGTGCAATATCCTGTAATTGTTCACTTGAAGCTTGTTCCTGAAGTAGGCCGCTTGTTTGGAACTGCAACAAAAATAGTTGATTACTTGAAATTACAAAAGCTCACTTTCTTTATATCTCTCTTTCTCTTTGTCTCTATTCGCAACTTAAAAGGATTAAGAACTCTAAAACTAAATCTCTCAAAGACTTGATCCCGGAAGTTTAGTAAAGTTTAACAAATTCCAAAGTAGAAATCTGGACTTGAAGACAAACAAAAGGGGAGGGAGAATCTAGGGAATTCTCGAAGGACTCTTTTGAAAACCGTGAGTGGAAATAGAAGGAGGATTCAGGTTTTTCCAAGGAAGAAGGAAGAGTTGTTACGACGCCAAGTATTCAGATAATTTCCTTTATTAGATTCCTTCAGCGTTGGCTCTCCTGTCCGCGCCTTAATTGAAACTAAAACGTTTCCCAACGCTCGATGCGGAATGCATAATGAGATGAGGGGCTAATTTGAGTGTCAAAGGATCTTGAATATCGTGTCTTAATATGCGAGTGGAACATGCAAATGTCTTTTCTCTCGTTCTGGGATCTTTTTTCTTATCTGACTTCGTGTACGGCTTTAAAAAAAACTTGGAAGAAAAAAGAAAAATTAAAATCCATCTCATTAATCTTGCTTCTCATTTCTTTCAAGTCGAAGTCAGGACGAAACTTTAATTGCATTCGTAACTTTAAAGGAATTTTTTTTTTTTTTTTTTTTATTGAAAGAAAAAATGAATTGGTAATTTACCTGAATTGAGTCCAGTTGTGTTGCATGTAGTAATACACTGTCGGGAACGGCTGTAACTTGTTGGAATACCTCGTCTTGTAAACTTGGACTAAAGTAACCACCATCTTCTGAATAACCACCGGTCATTGCAAAATTATCCGTAACTCCCTGTTGAATTTGTGTTTGATTTTGATTTGTTGATTGATTATTTGTTGCTTGAACTGGCGATTGATAAGTTAGCTGAACTCTTTGACCGGGATCGGACGTTGCTCTTTTTACTGCCATTTTTGTCGTTCCCTGATTTGTAAATTAAAATATTAGTAATCTATTAAAAATAATATTTCAAATAATTTGTACCTTTAGAATTAAATCAGCAAGTGCTTGTGCTTGAGCTTGTGTTTGTGCTTCTTGAAGTTGTTTTTGTACCGAAACATGTCCAGTAATTGTAACATTAGGTTGACGAAAATGATCACCATCGGATAGTCGTCGTGTTTTTTCACCACTTGCAAGTGGTGGTGGAGCAGGTACAGCAAAATTTGTTTTTCCCACATGTGACGTTGAATTATCTTGATTATTAAATGCTGCGGCATTTGACCTCGTTTGAGCTGCATTCGCATCTGATGCTGAAAGAAAAAAAAATTAGGAGTTATAAATTTGTTCTATAAATACTACCAAGGACTCTCTTTTTAGTTTCACAATGTCTTTTTTTTCCTTTCAAACGCTTTGAGGAGATTTCAGAATTGGAAATATATTTCTCTTTTTTTTTTTTTTTTATCAATTGAGCATTTTGTATCGGTTGGACGCCTCTGCCTGATTAAATCGACAGGAAATCGAGGGGCGATTTGAAATTTTCAGTCGAATGATTCGTTCTGAAAATACTTGGATACGCAGTCGAATGAACAACGGATGAACGGTCGCATGAACTAACGAGCAGTGGTTCATTCATTTTTCAATCAGAACGTCAACGAGCGCAAAGTTAGGAGGGATCTCTCTCTCTCTCTTTTCAGAGCGTCTGGAAGAGGGAAATAAAAAATAGAAATGAGAATATGAAAATGCGAGAGGAAAAGGAAGTTTTTCTTTTTGTGGGGTTCGGAATATATATATCTTTCATTGAAAAAACAAAATTCACTGACCTTAAACTTATTTGCCTTTTTTGAATCTCTCCCAAATACACTTGATTCAGCTAATTGAAACATTGAATAACTTTCAATGAAATATAGAAGTGCTTCACAATTTTAGACACGTGACTAATTAAAACTAATTATCAATTTAATTAATATGAAAATAATATTTGTCACATGAGGGAGATTAGTGTATTTACAGAATAGATTTTAAATCAAAATTTAGTCACTAGCGGAAAATGTTAAGTGTGTGATATCCTAATTGTATCAGTAATTGTGTGGCTACTCAACCCTGACACTACTAACAATAAGTTTCTACTCTATTTTTTTCTTTTTCACGGATATTCTCCTCGACTGATCAAAACGTAATTTCTTAAATATTAGATTTGCATTAATTTTTCCAAATAGTCAATTTTCTTTTCAGTTATTCGAAATGAAAAATAACGTTAGAAAAAACTTGAGTGTTCGCACATTCAGTATTCATAACTCGAGAGCAAAAAAAAAAGGGCAATTTGTACCTCGGTAATTGTAATTTGTTTCGCCGCAAAGAAAACAAATTGATTGTTGTGGCTATAAATTGGTAGTGGCAATCAATTTTCAATTTTTCCTGGTGACGCTTTTTTTTAACGACACAGTCGAAGAATTGAGATGCGAAATAAAAGAGGATTGTTTATTGTATATATAGTTCAGATGAATGTGAGTGAGACTGAAGAAATATTTCGCAATAGATAAATTTTTTTTATTGAAATAATTTTTAGAACATGATTTTTATTAATTATTTCAAAATGAAAAAAAGAATTTTGAGGAAAACTTTTCTTAACTCATTAACCTAAATGTGAAAAAAGTGACTTTGCAATTTTATAGTGTCTTCTTCTTTTATTTTTTATTGAAGGGGTAAAAAGTGGAAATACGGAGAGGGAGTATTTTCGCGTGCTCTACATGATTCCATGCTCTCACATCTATGGACTGCCGATCGCCGTTCCCAATATGATTTATGGGTCGAGCATGCCAGAATATTTCTCGCATTGTCCACGTAGCGGTGATAAATCAAAGCAAGAGAGGGAGCGCCACGAGCGCTTTTGTAACAAAGTGCACGTCGTTAACGATTTATGCGAGGATACTCTCTCTCTCTCTTTCCCTCACTCGTTCTCCATTTTCATCCCCTCTGGGCTTTTGCAAATCTTCCACCAGTGCTTTTCGTTTCTAAAATTCTGCAAAAGCTCCGCAAAATTTCCAAACCATATATATACATATATAACAACAAATGACAAAAAAAAAGTCTTTTCAAGTGGAATAAAAATTTATATTTTTCTTCTTCTACGAATTATTTAACGGAAATAACGTTTTGTTCACGACTAAGCGCACATAATTTCAAAATTAATAATAAAATCTCACCTGTTGTTCGTTTTTGAATAATTTTCTCCTCTATCAATGCTCGTACACTGACGGACGCTGTTTGAAGTGGTGGTCCCACAACTTCTTTCTTCTCACTTTTCTTATTCTCGGAATCCTGAAATGAAATTTCAAAATTAAAATAAAATTTTAAAAAAGGGAAAAATAAATTTTTACTAATTTTCGTATAGGGAGAGGGGAGATAACGAATTGGATAAATAAATGAAGACTTGAAATCAGCGAGTCGTTCTAAATTAGAAGGAAGGATAGTTAATTGATACGTAGGAGATAAGCGGCCCGTTAGTTAATCACTAAGCGAAGCTAATTGAGGCACCATTCGATTATCCGTTGATGGAATCTCTGGCGTGTGTGATACTCGTTGGATGCGGGATGAAGGGGTAAGGGAGTAACGAAAACCAACCCCCTCTTCTCACTGCGTGCCAGGACTTGCTTCATATACGTAGGTTCGTTGTCTAATACTAATGGTACACGAAACTGGTACCCCCCCCTACCTCTCACCATTGGGATGACTCGCGAACCTCAATTTCCTACGTCAAACTTCGATATATCACGTTCTAAATTGAACTCGCTCTTTGACGCGACATATTCACGTTATGAATATTGATTGGTCCCTTAATAGGTGAGCATTGATTTTACACTTCTCATATATATATATATATACATCCCACATTTCATTTCTCACACTCCACTTGTCACTTCCCACGTTCATTGGGTGTATATGTATATTTAATGTCTAAGCAGCAACCTTGAAAATCCCCCCCAAGACTCATTGAAAGATTTTCAATAATTTAATTTCATCTTTTTGTTACAGTTACAATTCTTTCAAACAAGGAATGGTTGGAGTTATATTTGTTCCACGATCAATTTTGTTCCATAACTGATCCGGAGATAAGAAGCATCCTTTTTTGGAGCCTTCAAAGGATTTGCCAGTAGTTTTACTTTGCGTCAAAAGGCATGGACGCACTTAAACTAAAAATGCTTCTTGGGTGAATTTCTGAGCTAATCAAATGAACAAATTGCTTATTTATTTGAAAAATAAATTTACACGTTCGGTAGGATATTTTTACCTACTGAACCTAAAATAAGTATTTCTTGGTGAACTTCTGAGCTAATATAATCAAGAATTTGAAAAAACTAAACGCGATCGTTTTTATCTTTACCTACTGAATTTTAGATGAATTTCTGAGCTAATCAAATCTAAAATTCGTTTATTCATTTAAAAATTAAGTTCAGTAGGATATGCATTTTTCTTGCAAAAATATTGTAATTTGATGATGATAGAAAGAATCTAAAAGCAAATGATTTTATTAATGTGTTCGTTTCGATGATCGCCTTATCTTTCCTCCCTTCTATTCCCGTCACCTCACGATTTCGTATATATTCTTCATATATACCGCGCCACGCCGCTGAAAACCCTTTTCCAATTCCTTGGAGAAAAACTTTCATCTCTGCACAAATCAGATGAAAGAAGAAACTTTTCCCAACGAGTCTTTCAGCACTTTTTCTATAAACGTCGTAGCATACCTCTTTCTCTCTTTCCATCTCCTCTCTATCTTGGTCCCTTCGTTAAGACATTTTTAATCAGCATTGAACCAGCAGAATTGTCTGCCTGGAAAATCGCTGATCTTTGCGCCTTTTTATATTTAACAGTTGCATTCAGACACACTATGACCTCGTTAAGTTTTCCAGAACGTTAAAATGAAGAGTAGAAGGTGGAAGTTTTTTTTTTCATTCGAAAATTTATTTCAGTTTCTTCCTCATAATTTTACTTTTGATTTGCTCTTTTCGAATGTAGAAGTCGTTTATTTCCTATATAAGGGGCTCAACCAGTGTGACACTGACATAAGATCGATTTTTTTAATAGTTTCTATCTTCAAAAATAAAATTGTTGATAGTTTGGTATTTTTTTTTAGTTTTTTCGTAACTGTTAAAAAGAGTCCTATTTACTTTGCATAGAGGAATGTTCTAAATAATCATATATAGGAATCTCAATTAAAAGTTCCCGATTTTGAGAATTCGATTTTTATAACCAGAATTAATTTTACATACAACGACTTAATAATAAGCTTTTTGCTCGAATTTTCACGAGTTCTGCATATTAACACACTTGTATTGCAGCTTTAATATTGAGAGAGAATTAGAAAGTCTGAAGTACTTTAAGCTTTAATGACGTATTTAGGGAAATTATTAACTATAACCACAACTCGGTTTACTACGTCCCAATTAACTAATTTACTAATTACCAACTTTTGCAATATTACGCAAAAAAAAGAAGAAATAAAATTTTGTCTCACATTTTTGCAACGGAATATTTTATAATCAAAAAAACGAATTTTACCTTTTTGAAGTAGCCACCATGTAGTCTCATGTGACCGTTTAGAGCCGGTATATTTTTGAATTTTCGATGACACAAATTGCACTCAACCGGTTTTGGTTCAGTCTGGGACTTGTTTGATGCTGACACTGTACCGGGAGACGATGAATTCCCAGATGACGGGCTTCCTTTCCCTCCATTTCCGCTTCCGGGAGAATTCGCCTGCTGTTGTTGCTGAACTTGCTGTTGCGCTTGCTGCTGTTGTTGCTGGAAAAATAGAGAGAAAAAGAACATTGTCAGTTGGTTCATCTTTTTTTTTGGTGTTTGCAAAAAAGAGAAATATCACAATGAAGAAAATACGAAGAATAAAAAGTTTGTATATGAAAAGAATCCTCTTTTAGGAATTGACAAAGACTATAGAAACTATAGAACTTGTAGAATCGAAATATTTTTTTTTTATTTAAAAAATTCTTGTGGTAAAAAAATCTGTGATAAATTCAGAGAAATAATTGTAGAAATTATATTAAAAATAATCTGTAATTGATTAAAAAAAAAAAAATTTGTTGACTTTTAAAGAATTCTTCGTTGAGAAATTGGTTTCTCTAGAAATTCTCAAATGTTTATTTTATCCAAAAAAAAGATATGTAGGTCTTAAACGAAGGGAATAAAAGTATAGTGCCTGACACTGTAAAATGAAACCGTTCCATTTTCTTTCGTCGCATTCCAATTGCCTAGTACTTCCATCACATTTACGTTTTTCTTACTTAGACGATGTTTTTAGGTCAGTGATCATATTTAGAAGCGAGGTTTCGATATGTTGACAATTTCTTGTCGAAATTTTTCATTTTGGAAATAGTTTTCCTTACCTGAATACTTAGAAATTATTTGGTTGTGGTATTCTGTAATTTAATTAATTAAGAATTTTAATTTTACACGAAATGATTTTTTTTTAAATTATTTTTCATATTGTAAGTGGATTTCGATTACCGAATAATAATAATGATTTTAGTGTGTTCAACATCCACTAGAAGCGTAGCAATCGCTTTACAGCTGACATGACATAACGTCATTTTGTGTTTGGTGTTTGATCACAGCAGTTTTATTTTTGTTCGAATTAACTTTTCTGATCGAACAGTACAAAAAAGGTTTTTTAGTAAAAAATCTGAGCTATCATAAATAGTAAATATATTTTTTGATTAAGATAATTATTTCTTCATATGTTTGTGTATTTTTGTACAAACTAACTTGTCTTATCGAACAGAACAAAAAAGGTTTTTTAGTAAAAAATCTGAGCTATCATAAAATAAGTAAATTGTTTGGTTATCATAATAAAAAAATATTTATTTTTGAGAATATCATATATTTAGAAACTCACTAAAAACTAATTGAGGTAAAGTTTTCAAAGAGTTTCCAATGATTTTTGTAAAAGTTGGGATTGATAAAAATAACTAGCAATTAATTACCTAAACTAATTAAAAATAAAACTAACGTTTAATAATTAAATAAAAATCGTTTAAAATAATAATTATAAAATGATATTCTGAAAAATAAATATTTCTTCTTTTTCCTTCCTTTAATATGAAGGAACGTTTTTTGAAGTAACTTTTTTCAAATCCCAACAAGAAATCAGCGTTCTGTTCTTATCATTCCCGAGTGAAATTTCTCAGCCGTGTGACTCCGCCTTTTGTCTTGATGTAGAAATAGGGGCGGGAGGGGGGGGGTGAGAGAAGGGATGGGTAAATTCGAAGCCTCACTACGTGCAAGTACAACGTGTCCCTTACAAGCAAGAAAAGGAGGGGGGAAATTACGACGCTGCATGGTTCTCGATCTGTAGTTAGCAGTTTCTCTCCAATGAAGTTTCAGCATTCCTTACACACAATACGAGTGTGCTGAGTGGAGACTCCTTCTCATCTACTCCTTCCCCCCCCCTCTCTCCTTATACTGCAAGCTATACCCATCCTCTATTTCTCATCCCAACGCGCTTTCAGTAAAGACTTCTATCCTCGAGGGTGGAATTTCGCGTTCTACATTGCCATATTATTATCGTTCGCTATTTCCAGCAAGTTTCAAGGTGTAATTTCTCCGAATGTTAAGCCGGAAGAGATGAGTGGAAGAGAAAGAGAAATAGAGAGAGAAAAGAGCAGAAAGGAAAAGGGATGCATGTTTAGATGCTCTTTGAGAAGATGAAAACGAAGCACTAGCAGACGGAGAAGTATCTCTTATTAGTCAGGCAAATCGTGCAACCGAAAAAGCTTTAAGTGACGCTCCAAACGACTTTCTTTTCCATTTCTTTTCATTTCTGATGCGGGGAAAAGTTTTTCAAAGATCGGAGGTTTATTTTTAAGGGATTTTTAATATAAAAGAATTTCTTCTGGAACTCTAATTGCTATTCAATTAAATATGGTTCTTACAAAAACTTTTTTTTTCCCCTCTCTGTATAGATATCGTCATTTGGGTTACTTTTGTAGTTAGTGAACACTGACTAATGATCATATTTAAATAAAAATAGTTTTCTATTTTCTTATATATAAAAAACCCAGTTTCTTTTCGAATGGATTTTAATGGGGAAATAGGATTAATTTCTCCTATATGATTATACAATTTAGTATTTAAGAAATCTTGAATGGGATTTTGGTGTCGAAACGTAACTTTCGGACGTTTCACGTTGGTGATGGGAAGAGAGATAAAAGGGGGTTGGGGGAGGTGTTAGACATAGAATTACGTGGAATTTCCAGCACGTACAAAATCCTCCCTGACATGTCATGTTGGTCGTGGACTAAATGTCAGGAGAGTAAGTCCTAAACGGTTAGGTACTGGATGTTCAAGAGTAGTTAGGTAAAGGATGGGGTTATATCTTGGTAGCTCTTGGCGCGTATGATTAAATTAGAACATTGTCAGCATTACGTGCTTTCCTGCTATTCAGTTTACCACTTACTAAACGTGACTAGATTAGGTACTAGCCAAACCCTTTTCACTCTTGTGGTATTTATACAATAAAAATAGAATTTTGCAATTTCTTAATAATAATTAAATTAATTTTTTTACTATATCCACTAAATAAATTGGATTTTGATAAGAGTATAATAAATTATTTTTCTTCTCTCTGGATTTTGTCGGTTTTATCTCTTGGGAACGTGAAAGTTGCAGTTTTGATATTAATTTTTCATTTGGTCTCAGGGATGGAATTATATGTCGACGATGTTTTCGTCACTGTACTTGTAATCGGGAGAACTAAAACATTTATGTCCAAAGTATACCACGAAAACCAACATGAGGATTAAGGGAGTCTATAAAATTATCGAGACCTATATATATATATATTCATCCCTGCAGGTTTTTGAGTTAAACCGTTCCCGCATCTATCCCATGAAGCTGCTGCATCTAGAGTGGTAGAAGAAGAACACACTGGGTTTGTACGTGGTCGAGCCGAATGTAATTAAGTTTTGCTAGCGACGCCCGGTTTTCCTTTGTTACACTCACCAGTCGCTTTCACACATACACCCACCCAAGCTCCCTGGGATACTGGAATATGGTCTCGAGCTCCGTTAATCTTTAACGCTATATAGAAGAGGATGTTGGGGAAAAACCAGCTGGGATGGTAATCGAATTGTCTACCCACGAGAAACCAGTGGATATCAACAGGATGCGAACCCTAAGCGGATTTTTCAAGTTTCCAAACTTATCTAAAACATTAATTTTTTCAAAACATTTAGTTTTAGAGCAAAAAAAAAATTATTTCCTCGTTATCTTTTGTAGTTTATGAGGGTTGTGTGTACCTCCTCTACACGGAGGGATAATTTTACGAGCCGCGGATGGACGCAGTAATTGCGAATAATTGCATTGTCTTCGAGTCGTTCGCTTCAGAGTCCCTTTGTATTTTCTCCTTCCCTACGCTGAATCCATAAATTACTTTGAAGAGAGAGAGAGAGAGAGAACTCAAAACTCTCAACGATTAGGAAATCTCTCATCCCGCATCAATAATTGTCAAAAATGCTGCAATTGTTCTGAATATAAAAAATGGAAATCCCTAACAAGGTTTGTAAACCCAAAAGGTTTTTTTTTTGTTTTGTGAAATGAGAAATGTCTCGAGCTATGAGAGCAATTGTACTCTCTTATCGTGTGAAAGAAGCAGGTGAAGCATTTTAATTTCGTCGTAAAGCGCGGACCAACAGTAGCAGCAGACGGCGGAAAGGTAGTTTAGCGGGAGCGGTAACAAACTCGTCCCTGGGTAGATTTACGCTTTACTGATTACCACGCAAGGAGACACAGAGAGAGAGAGAGAGAGAGAGAGAGAGACCCCCGTAGGGTGTTGAGATAAGAGGAGACGAGCCAGAAGCCGAGTAGACAAACTGTCTCCTGCCTGACAATTGTACTAATTGCACAGCTGCTCCTCTCACCCATTGCAAAACCAACTTGCCAAGTTTCACTTCATGGAAAGAGAAAGAGAGGTAACTATACCTTGAATTCAAAATTTAAATCAAAGACCACAGTTTCATCGAGATTTTCGACATTTGTTGTAGGCAAAGGTACATGAAGAAAAAAATGATTTAGCTGTAGTAGAAAATATGCATTAGCGTCAAAAGGCATATGGACAGATAGCAGTGGAAAAGTTTTGTTAAATGCAGTAATATATTAGTAAGTAAATATTAATTATTATTCAAAAATGTTAAATGAAGAACTTGTGCAGTTTTTCCGAAAATAAGACGTAAAGGAACAAAATTTTTATATAAAATAACGAAAAATATTAAAAATAAATTTCTTTTTTACAATTAAGTAATTTTTATTTTACCTATCGAACTTTAGATAATTCTTGAGTGAATTTCTGAGCTATAATCAAATTAACAAATTTACTTATTTATTTGAAAAGTAAATTTACACGTTCAGTAGGATATTTTTACCTACTGAACCTAAAATAAGTATTCTTTGGTGAACTTCTGAGCTAATATAATCAAGAATTTGAAAAAAAATAAACGCGATCTTTACCGAATCTTTACGAATCTTTACCTACCGAACTTTAGATAAATTTTCTTGAGTGAATTTCTAAGCTAAGAAAATAAAAAATTTGCATATTCATGCAATCTTTATTAGTTAATTTTGCTAAATTATTAGTTCTCTCAACTAAAATTTAACTAAATCATCTAACTTTTCGAATTGTAAGGAAAAAAATAATTTTCATTCCAAATCATTTACGAGTTTCCTTCTCATCCTTGGAACAAATCGGTTTGTGCACGTGCTTCTCACAAGATTCAATAAACCCTTCCGGCTAT